TAATGATGTACCTACATTAACACTTGAAACGGCGGACACTAAATTAATTAATGACAGACTTAAATTTGCACAAGAAGTTATTATTCCTCAAATTGCTGCACGCATTAAAGAAACACAAACAACTGATCATGAACGTTTTGCTAGAAATCATAAAGTTCTTAAAGATATGTACCCTATTGGCAGAAAGTGCATGATCGTCAATGTTCATCGCAACTCTAAATTACAAGAAAGATATTCTGGGCCTTTTACTATTAAAGGATACACAAAGAATAAATCTTACATATTAGCAGACCAAGCAGATAATTTACTATCTAGGGATGTACCTACTCAACAAATTAAATTGATACCTGAAGATAAAACTTCACAAGAACTCACTGCAGGTGAACATTTCGAAGTGCAGGCTATCATGGCTCATAAAGGCGTTGCTGGTGATTATTCATACTATGTTCATTGGGTAGGATATAATGATCCTAAACATCATACATGGCAGAAAGCTGAAGATTTTGATTCCAAATTACATATCGAATTATATTGGGCTAGACGCAATGCTGGAAATGTCCATAAGCAATTACCTACAACAGTAAATAACACTATACGTAAGAGAACTAATCGCGACAAGCATAGTAATAAGAATTCACGTATTATTACTAGATCACAGAAATTGCTTGCTTTGCAAAATATTTCTAAGTAATTAAGTATAGCCTTTTTCCCCAAAGATACTTTTTTTGCCTTTAAGGTTTTTTCATTTTGGTTTTTACTGGCACATACATTACTACGATCCACACAACTTTAATTTACATAACACTATTTCATTTATATACATTTTAATCATATGCACATATTCTACGGGCAAGTCAGTCGTAAACATTAGCTAACGTGTAGACACCTATATTTCTTAAAAAAGCTTATCCTAATGTGGTTGGGGGTAATGTTGTGATCGAGCTTTATATATTCATGTATGCTTGATCTACACAGCATATTTTTATCCATTACGATAATTTTATAAACACTTCTTTTAATGTTGCATATTAAATATTCACAATTGACTTAACAAACTAGCACGATATTCATCAAGCTAAATACAAGTACAAAAGTATACATTTATTATACAATTATTCTAAAAAGACATTATTAATATATTGTACTAATCAGATTAGCGGAGGCCAATGACAAGCGAGGTTTAAAAGTACAGACATGATAAATTTTTGAATGTACTTTGATGACTTTTAAATGTACGCGTCAAGTGACACTACAGACCTTTTATAGAAACGTGTACCACTCTTTCTTCTATTATATGATTCTCATTGGATTACTTACTTTCAAGATATGGCATGTCAGTCATAATCTTGCCTGTCATCTAGCCCTGTCTAAGAAGGAGGTCGAATTCAATATGTATATAAAGGACCCCTAAATTTTATGTTAATAAAAGTTCAGTTAATTTTTGCAATCTGGTTAATCTTACTTGTCATTTTTCCTAAATTATCGTCGATTTATCAAGTTGCAATTTTGTCTTGCAACTTTCTTAGCGCCCCCCCCCAAAATCGTTCGATCGCATTTGTTTCGCAATGGAATCTGTGGTATAGTTCAAAGATATGGCCTGCATTGCCAATGGCTTCTTCCAAAATTGATTTTTGCTTCAAAACATCGGGTTGGCTACCAACCTGATGATTTCCACAACACGTATGATCGGCAATGGCGATGTCATGGCAGTCCTTATTTTGGCCACTGTATAGTCCTCGCTCTTGAAGGATTAATTTGAAGCCCTTAAAATAAACCTTCATTTTGTTGTTCTAGAATGAAAAATATCAAAAAGTTAAAAAAATTACTCTAATTGGTATTCCTTAAGTAACTTACTGGGTGCTTTTTTCTAATAAGCTCTACAATTTTTTGTCGTTTTAAATCAGCATCCAACTTTGAGTTATGCAATTTTTGAATTTCAACAAAATTGTTGACTCTTTCGACATAAAAATCCTGGATTTTAATAGCGTCTTCACCTGCGGCAGACTTTCCGGTATATTCACCATTTCTTACTCGAACCTCATCTTTACCTACTTCATGGGAAAGCATGTTCATTTTGTTGGCGACCAAAGCATTCAAAGCAAACGCCTTGTGATGCTGCCTTGGTCGAACGAGAACACTCCAATGCTCTGTTTAAGCAAGAAAGCAAAGATCACAAGAACGTCTTGCAACTGTTCCAGCATGTGAGAGCTAGTCCAATAATCCTCACTTCCTGCACCGGGATAAAACAGTTTTCTTGAACTCATTATCTTATTTTAAATTGTGGTCCTCATGGTACCATGGCATTTGCAATGAAACTCTGAGACCATGATTGATCTGCTCTGATATTTAGGCAGACAGTAGCTCTCATCATTTCCTAGCCATGCTTGTTTTTTTGGTAATCGTTGGCATAGAACGTGCTCTCATCATGGCTAACGAAAACATGTTGTGTTTGACCTACTGGCAACTCCAACGGAACTGCCATACTATCATCATTAGGTTCATACTGCTGGGACAGTTCCAGATACAGCATCATTTGCTTGGCACAAATCTGACGATACTCGATGACGTCTTCTCTCTCCTGTCCATCAAAGTATACGGTACGACCTATAAAAGCAGAATTGTGACAAACAGTTACCAATGGCATGTCGAAATATTAACGAGAGGCATGTGGTGATCTGCTATATTGTTGCTACATTGCATAAATCTATATCTATGACATCAATTCATTAAAAATGATTAAGGAATCAATTACCCAATATGGATATTTAGTACTATCATACCATAAGGTTAAAAGAACACAGTGACTCAGGCTTACTAAAGATATGGATGTACAATATGTCTAAGATGACCGTAATTCTAAGTGTAACATCTTTACAAAATAAGCAGTTAAAGGTAACAGGATCCACACTGGGAAAATGATAACAACTTCAAAGATACACTAAAGATAGTGGTACAGGAGATAGTCTTTTATATATAAATACTTGTTCCTTTTATTTCATAATAAAGACAATCTTATAAACAGTTTCAAATTATTCATAAACTGCCTTATACTTTTACTTACGTCTAAACACAACATTTTTTAATTTGAATTCATAAATATAATATGTCTGCCTCCAACTCTCCTATCTCTAACTCTGCTGCTGAGCGTGCTGCTCCTGAACATGTTGAAAATGTTCAACCTCTTTCATCTGGTGTTGATGAAGATTTTGTGATGTCTGAAGGTGATGAAGTTGCTGCTCCTTCCTCTTCCTCTTCTCCTTCTCCTTCTCCGTCTGTTGAAGTCAAGATCAACATCAGTGAAGAGTACACGGCTGAAATGCTGATTCAGTCTGCCAAGGAAGACCTTGATGACAAGAAGTCAAAGTACTACATTTGCTTGGGCAACTACCTGCACTTGTCCAAGGCAAACCGTAATGGTGAAGACACCAAGCGTGCCCGCGAGATGTCCAAGGATACTGAAAAGCTCTTCAAGGATGCTGAGGACACTCTTAAGGTGCTCAAGCTCTCCAACGCTCGTGATGTTTCTTTGGTCGAGGAAAAGAACTCCTTTGTTCCCCCTGGTCTCCCCTTCGTGCAATTGGTGACGGATGCGATCTGTGAGAAGCCTCACTTACCTAATTTTGACTCAGTCTATAATTTAGTCAAGAGTTTCCCATAGTGTTGAAAGCTCAATCCTTATCTCTTGACAATCATTGGAAACGCTTGCTTCCTTCTTTTTTGAACAAGGACACACAAAGTTGGTTTGAAGACAAACTGGCTTAGTCTTCCCTGAACTGGAAGGCCGGTGAAAGTGAACTGCTTGACTATTATGACACACCTTTAAGAAAGTTCTTGAATATGGGTCGTGTCTGGTCTATGAAGCAAGGAGCAACTGCGTCTGTCCGCTCGTTTGGTGCGAAGTTTCTAGAACTTCGTCGTCATTCTTGCTTGGAAGATGGTGTTCAGTTGTTCCTCTGTTTTTGGTTGAACTTGTGCCCGGAAGTCCGTAAAGCGTGTATGGTTCCTCTTGCAGCCAATTACGGAACCAAGATGCCTTCGAATGTCGAAGACAGCATTGCGTTTGTTACTACAACCACGCTGGACACATCTTCTTTGTTGCTAAATCATGGTGAGACCAGTTCAGTTTCTGATTGGAAGTCTTTTGCTGAAGTTAATGGTAGTCCTTCCTTCACTACCGGTAAGGGAAAGAAGCGAGCTTCTCCTGCTAGCGATGTCGGTTTGAATACCACGAAGTCTTGAAATTTTAGATCGGCAGTGAAAGATAACGTTTGCTTTTCGTGCAAGTCTCCTTGGGAAAAGGGTCATTCCTGTCCTAAGAGGGAAAGACATCTAGCGGCTAAGGTGTCAAGAATGGCAAGACAACCACCAAAGGTCTTCAGGCGGACTGAACGAGAAGGCCTACTTGTAATTGTACCAGTCAAAGAGTATATGACCTCGTAGGTAAAATTGGACTTGATGTATATAAACAAAGCTTCTTGATATTTAAACTGTTCTGTTTTATTTATTTATTTTTTTAAAGATCTGCTCCAACTGTTCCGTTACTAATACTGAAAACAGCAAAAGCGACAATGTCCCTTTGTTCGGTGTATTGCAGTGCTAAAATTAATCTTGCAATACCTTATGGCAAAGGAGATATTAATGCTTCGAGGAATCTGCACTGTAGATCATGGAATGTCAAAACTAATGTTCAAGTCGCTCCAAGATTGCAACGACAATAGCAGCAAAAAAAAAAGACATGTCCCCGTAACAAAAACGGGTTGACGTTTACACGTAAGTGATGATTGGCCAAAATTAAATATTTAAAAAGCACTAACTTTTTTGTACATGTATCCTCCAGGTGTGTAGCTCATATAATCCAAAAAGATATTATTTTATTTTTTAAAAACAAAACTATAATAACTTCCAGCCAATTATAGGCAATCATTTCTATCTGACTGCTAATCTCATTTTAGAAATTATCGAAATCCTCGAGCCAATCCAGTTGTTCAAAAGACTTATCTATTCTTATCATTTCAAGTATATTCATTTACTGTGATGGCAAAGTAAAAAAAAACACAACATTAAAACGCATGAAGGTGATAAGAAATCCCTTCCAGAGGACACTCAATGGTGTCTCTCTAACTTGCGAAATTTGACAACAAGAAAGTCCTATGATGCATTTGGCCATGAGTACAATTCAGTACAAAACATTTCAAGGAGATATAAGAATATTATCAACAATGAACTGAAAGGCGCCAAAAACATTGTGAACATTAGAAACGAGCATAACATATGGATAAAGTCAAAGAAGAATACTAACTAGTGGCTAGAGAAAATAAGAGTAGAAACAGTCTCAAATACACATATTGAAGGCGGCCAATACGTTCAGGAGGTTGTCAGGTCTTAAATTGACCAAATAAGAACCATGGATAATAGTCAGAATCAAGAAAAAGACGCCCAAACTGACAAAACTGATAGAGAAGCTACTGAGTATCATGAAGATGAGCAAAATAAAATTAAAGAAACTGAAGAAGATAGAAAGTGTCGAAGTAGAACCTTGGATTATGGAGAATGGTATCAATGTTACAACCTTGTTCACTGAATATTATAAACGTGTTGAACAGTTTTTTAAGACTGAAGGTTTAATCGCAATTGAAATCCATGTTCAAGAGTTATCAGCCCTAAACCACATACTACTTTTAAAACCATTGCAACATAGCAAAATGATAAGAAAAGTGTTCACTGACGAGAATATTAAATATATCACAAATGAACAACTAAAAACGTCAATGAACTCCTCGCTTGATTTTACCAGTGATGAATTAACACAGTTAAACCTCGTATTAAAACGTTTAATAACTCAAACCCAAAGTGTACATAATATCGCTACTAATCTTAGGGTATTCTCCAATTCCTTGGATTACGAAAAACGCCGAGTCATCATAGGCATTGCAATGCTGTAAGTATTATCAATAACTCTTTTATGCGGATTAATGCTAATGTGGAATTAATTTCTATAGAGTCATAAAACTCCCTAAAGATCCAATCGTAGATATCACTACTATTTCTGAATCAAAACTGTGGAGTATTTATTTCGACCCTTTTTTATCTGCCATTATATCCGATAATGAAAGAAACACACTTTTAAGATGGTTAAACAAGCAAGCTGAGGACGATCTTTTAAGACCAGACGCATCCTTTACAACGATCAACCAATTACAGTTTGGTTTCAATCTTGGATTTGGTGAAGTGAAAATTAGTCAGCCGACATGCGATAAAGGAGCACTTTGCAACGACGTTTTACGATTAACCCATCTAACCAAAGAATACCTTGATAATCATCGTTTAGATGCTTCACTTAGTTTCCAAATTCATGGTAAGTGCACTTAGTTGTGATAGGTGTACAGTTTTTTTATATTGACGTATTACAGGCTTTTCTGTTTCATTTTATATGACTCAATTACCATGTCATAAACTATACACGACGACTGAACTCGGTAAAGTATCGTTTTCGAAATCGTTAAAAGACATATCCGCTTTCTGCTGTCCGCAAAATTTGCAATTTCTAATTCAGGTTACAAATGCTTTCTGGAGCCATTGCAAACCTAGTCTATCCCCTTCGGTCATAAAAGAAAGTTCATCAAGATCGTGAATATAAACCTTCTTTATGAGTTTGTGGATCCTCACAAAAGCCGTAAAAGAACTTGTCATGATTTCTTTGGGTAGTTGACATTAGTTTTTTTGTTTTTTAATTCCTTCTCATTGTTACAGACACACACGTCCCGTACATTTGCTTTTCGTGTTCTATTTTATTAATAAAGAAATGACTATTTATTATAAGTATAATTCTAGGTAGACGAGAAGGTGTTTCAGCAAGATTAAAGCGTTTTTTTTTACTTAGATATTGTATGAGTTAGCAGCCTTTATACAGTAATAAAAAGCATAAATTAATTTTCTAACGAGAGAAATGAGTGTATCGAATGTATACTTTGCAGAACGGGAAGAAACATAACCGAAAACATGTCAAATACAATAAACTTGGATTAGGGTTAGCGACAAGCAATTTGATTTGGACGCATATACCATTTTTTGATTTAGATGTAAAAAAACCGAGAGCTATCGAATGGTACCAGTCTTGAAGTCTAGACATCGGTAGCCATCACAATAAGTCCGAAAGGTCTGAAAACTTTATGAAAACTCTGAAATGTTAGTTAAAAAGCACTGAAAAAATTACAAAGTACTGAAAAGCTTTAATTGGGTAGTTAATTCCGTGTTTCATTTTCAGTGTATTTTCAGTAAAAACTAATAAACTTAACGTTTTCATTAATACCATTAAAGTGCAACTGAATTTCGTAAATTTTTCAGTTCTCATTCATGGTAATTTCAAAATATTAAGACAGGCATTGAATAACTTGAAATAACCAGTGATTTCAGTCAATTTTTCAGGGTTAAATAACAGTCAATTTAACGTCTTTAATTTTATTACTGGAATATCTGAATGCGACACTTTATTTTCTTAATAACTTTTACTACGTTTATTTTAATCAAAGTTTGGTTCCATCTGCCGATTGAAATAATCGTATTCGCCAATCTTTAAATTTATCCTTCTCATCATAGGCCAGAAAAAATACATCCTCCCATTGTTCTTTATGCTTGACTCTAAACCAGCTGCAGTATGTAATAAATTCTCGATATCTACAATCTCCAAAAGAGTGCATTGATTTACGTCGTGTTTATTACATCTTTCGCGCATGTCACAGTATGGAATGCCAGCCAACGACACACACATATTCTGATAAATATGGACAAGTGCAAAATGTTTTGTAATTTTATCATGCGTATGTTCAAAGAGTAAAAGTACTTTCCCGAGATATGGCTTGTCTGGTACGTTTGATTTTATGACGGCATATTGGCATAATCGTTTCTTTCTATGTGCCACAAGAATGGAACTATCAAACAACCTATACTTCTCACGAAATACCAAATGTTCGGCACATTTCAATTGAGTGGAAATTCTTGCAGGTGTTGTGTTTAATATACCAGATAAGAGTGATAAAATGTTATACTTCCTAAATTTGTCTAAATCAAAGATCTGATTAAACATATCGGACATAGGTACATAGTCGGCGTTTTTGTCATCGTATTTAGATCTTGCGTGATAGTTAATATAAGCATCATGAATATATAAATTCTCGGCATTTTTTTCTGGCAATCGAGTACTTTTAATTTTTTGCTTGATTCTTTGGATTCTTCTTTCCATACTCCTGCAGCTTATTTGACGAAGTGAACCCATAGCCTGAATTACGTCTTTAACATGAGTTAAATAATGCTGATTAATATTAAATTGTTCTGCAGGTAGACAATCACGATAGAAATTGAGCCATTCGTTAATAAGATCATCCAATTGTTCAATCTCATTATCAGATATGACATATTGCGTGGAAACTGAGCTTACAATGGAAATAGCTTGAAGTGCGGAGATGGATGCATTCAAGTGTACTAATTCTTCATCGGTTGGATTTCGAATATTATCATACTGCTGCTGAAGCTGTTCTACCACAAGAGTTGGCACAATATATTTTAGAAAAACCATGTAGTCAACACCGCGCAAACGGCCTGTATTTTGAAAAACATCCTTGAAATCCCCTTCAAAAATAATGGGTGCGTATTTCCCTTCATTAGCTATATTGTCACCAAGCTGTTTATAATATGTCTTTGCCAAACGTAAAATAGATGGCTCGTTTCCTTGTAAAAAATCACGGATCTTTGTGCCAATATTCAATCCAAACAAGTGAAACTCATCAATGCCAAGGAAGTATATACTTATCAAAAGAAGGTAGGTTTCTAAAAATTGATGGCTTCTTAATTCCACGAGTGGGATCTCCTTGTTTATAGTGGTCAATAGTTCTAACTTGAAGTGGCTGGGAATCACTATTAGCAGGTATGCCGAAGCACATACGACGTTTTTGTCTATCTGAATAGATCGTACAAAATCTACAGGGCCAATATGACGTATGACCAGTCAGATAATTAACCTCAGCGACAGATGGTATATCTCCAAAGGAACCAAGAAGATAAACTTTCAATTGATACGTATTTTCATTGACATGCACAACCATTCCTTCTTTTGCCAACTCTTCTAGTTCAGCGATAGCAAAACGAAGATAGCTTGTAAGATTACTAGTTTTTGGTGCAAATCCAACATCAATGATATTTTCTTTTTTTACTCTAGTTTAAATTGTTTGTTATCTTGTTATTTAAGTAATTTACTGTTTTCACTTTACCTTTCCGTTTCTGGTAAATTCAAAATCTGAAAATGTATTGTATTTAATTTGACACCTCCTTTGTTGCGTGTTTGAAAACCATCATTAAATAGAACCAAGCCAATATCATATTTTCCTTGAAACAAGCCTTTTGATTGAAGATCTTTTATATATGATCCTTTGATGATTGTATCGATAGGTTTTTCACACTGACGTAAAAACATCGCATTTGTGAAAAGTGAAGCCAGTTGAGGAGCTATCTTTAACTGTTCTGTAGTTCGTCTAGGTGTTGCAGTAGAATTGGATGAAGTGTATCTTGCTTCATGGCATTCAGGGCACTGTAATTCACTTTTGTCCGGGAAAGCATAGCAAGCATTTATACATGTATCAATCTTAAATGGTCTAAAAGGTGAATTTTTCTTGATCTTTGTTTTATACTTTTTGTGTGTCAGGAGGGGAGTTTGGTCTATTGAAAGTCATGAGCAAGCATTCTGTTTTATTGAGTCACTTTACTTACCTTCATTCTTTTGTAGGTTATACCATTTGACTATTTTGTCTATAGTACCATGTCCAATATGATCCTCTTCGAAAATTTGGTAGATATCAAGATTTTTCTTGTCAATATCAATGAATTGTTTATTTGGATCCGTTACGGTAAAGGTTCTATCGGGATGAGAATTATAACTTGCTTCGCTTTCTACATTTACTGTTGTAATAGCAGTAGAAGCAGATGTTTTGTTATAGTCTTCTGGATCTAAACAGTTATCGTAATCGCAGTTGCTTTCCTCAATAATTGGTGTTGTCAAAGTATAAGTTGAATCATTATCTTGACTATTTAAATTTTCGGTTATTGTCAACATTGATCCTGGTAGTGTCCATACTAGGTCAACTTGATCCATTGCTGTTTCGTTGGATATTTCCGCAGATGTCATCTCTGTACCATTTTCTGATTGTGCTCTTGTGGTTGTTGTGGTTGTTCCTTCAGTTTGGCGTTGAATGCTTTTATGCGATCGCTTTCGTTTCAAGTTATTATTGTTAAATCGGTTGTTGATACGGCTGACTTCATGAAGGCTTCTTTGTTTTTCGTGTTCACGAAAATGAGCTATGCGATTATTGTCGCGTATTTTTTTGTTGCAGATGTTACATTCAAATGGCATTAAGAAACTTCGAAATAAAGTGAAACTCAAAACATTGTGCTTGCAACAAAAATAATGGCTTTAAAAATGAGTGAGATTAGCAGTCACATCTTTTATAAAATTTTTTTTCTTTGTTGTTTTAAAAAGTTGTCCTTCATCCCTCTTAAAATAAAAAATATGCCTCCCAAGAAAGATCATAATTTAGAACTGATTCAGAAAATTAACTCATTGGAAAACACGGTGACTCAAAACAACGCAATGATAGTATCGTTGAAGGATAGTTTTACTCAGATTCAAGACATGTTACGTACTCATGCTGATGGGATGGAGGTGATTCAAAGACATTTTGCCGAGAATGAAAGCGCCACAAGTTCAAACACAAATGAGCAGGCAGGAACAAGGAGAAAGAAAATACCCATGCCAATGGTGACAATGAACGATGGAAACTCAAGGAAGCGAAAAATATTAAAGCGTGACGTACTTGATGCTATACTTCTACTAAAACCTGATATTGAAGATGTTGGTATGGTTTACGAAAATATAAGGAGCTGTGCCTACTATCGTATTAAATCGCTTATGGATGTAACGTATAACGACCACCCACCACCATGGCGAGACGTGCTTCCGTGCTATCGTCGCGAAATAGTCAACTTGTTGAATGAGCGTGTACTTGAAATGGATGTAGATTTATCTCTTTGTGAGGATGACTGGGTAGCGCTCCACCTTATCAAGAGGTCTTACCAAAACAGAGAAAAGTATATGAGGTATTACTGAATGTTTATTAAGATGACGTGACTTATTTAACAGAAAAATATAGTTCATCCACAGAGGCGGAAGAACAAACTCAAGACAGCCAAGACCAAACAAACCAAGCGCAAACAAACCAAGCCCAAGAAAACCAAGCCCAAGAAAACCATCCTAAAGAAAACCAAGCTTAAGAAAATAAGGTATTACCTCGGATTTGCATATTTTTATTTATTTGATATTTACTGGTATTGTTTTGACATAGGCTGCCATAGGAGATGTAAAATATTTTAATATTTTGTTAATTTTTTTATTTTTAGGAAGGCAGTGAAGGTAAACTAAATGTATCCCTCGAATTGCATTACTAAATTATTTTATAGTCATTTTCATGCTTTGTCACCCCTTGATTTTACGTATTGTTTTTTGTGGGATATGTTTGGAAGAAGTTTTAGTTTTTTCATTATTACGAGGCTTTTTCAAACCAAACCTCCGTTTCGGTAAAAATTTGA